AACTTGGTTACTGAACTTAAAAATAAGAAATCATATGAGCTTTGCAATATACTTAACATGGACGAAACTCCCGTTTGGTTCGATATGGCAGAGAACTTTACAGTTGACCAACAAGGGAAAAAAACGATTCACATTCGTAGTACTGGCAATGAAAATAACAGGTTTACTGTTGTGCTAACCTGTGCTGCAGGTAAGTAAAGTTTAATTTAGCTAAATATAGTTTTTTTTATAAAACTTGTTCAAGCTTGTTATAATTTTTTTTTGAACTAATGCTGAAGTTTAATATAGTCTTTTATATAAGCTTTGTTTGGTTTATATTAGAATTAGTTAAAATTAATTTAATATAAATAATTTTTCTTTTTTTTTCCTTTTTTTTTTTTTTTTTAACAAATTTATTATTTTAGATGGATTCAAGTTTCCACTGATTTGTATATTTAAAGAAAAACGATTATCAAGTAAAGAAAAAAGACTAATTCCTTCCGGTATAATTGTTTGGTTTCAAGACAATGGATAGATGAATACTGATTTAATGAACGAATATATTGATTATCTTAAGGATATAAAGGTTAATAGATCCGGGGCTCCAATGATGATGGTCTATGATTCTTTTACAGAACATCTGGAAAAATTAGTTAAAGAAAAGTTTTGAGATAACAGGATTGATTTGGCAGTAATTCCAGCTGGCTTAACCAGTATGTGCCAACCATTAGACGTCACTATTAATAAACCATTTAAGGATAACCTTCGTAAGGAATGGCATCTCTGGATGTCTCGTGGTGGTGCCGGTACAACTGCTAAAGGAAATCTTCGCTGTGCAAGTTTTAGTGATGTATGTTGGTGGGTTAAACGTTCTTGGGAAGGAATCTCTAACGAGGTTATTATTGAATCTTTTAAGGCTTGTGGCATTACAAATAGTTTAGTCAATCAGGATGATTCTGATAAAGAAAACGACTATGAAGAACTAGAAATTATCGACTTGACAATTTAACATTGAAATTAGTAGAAGAACAATAGTTCATAGGTTAGAATTAAGACTTAAATCAAAAATGAGATGCATAGAAACTCCAAATTATGTAAATGCTACTTTATCTGTTAACTGCAATATTTTAATTCTAACACGAATGAAATACTATAAAATTTAGCGGTCAAAATTTTTATTGTAATCATGGTTAGCAAAATGATAGATAATTTTATCTCCACTTTATGTAACTTACACATTTTGATAAAGCAATGATTTTAGAATTCTATTTGAATTTAAGATAGGCCTGGATAAGGACGTATTCCAATAATAGTGCATTATCCAAGAATCAATATTACATTGGGCTGAAATGCACGTAAAGTTATTTATGTAAAATCATTTGTCTTATAATTTATCTTTTGAAGTTTTCTCACTTCTTTTTTTTTTTTTTTTTTTTTTTTTTTATACATATTTTTATTCATTACAAAATGTACATTCAGGATCAAACAAACTTAAATAACTTGGATGCTATAACAGGTGTAGTATTGCAAGACATTATTATTTTAATCGCAAACAAACTTAAGAAGGTAATATAGATTTTCACCAACAAGATAACATATCTGACCGCTATTTTCATAGCCTTGAAATGTTATTTTGTTAGCAAACTTTATCATTTTATTTAATTATTATTTAAGGTTAATATTAACCAATGTTACTACTTTTAGAATTTTTCTCATTACATTAATAAGAAGTTGATTAGTCTGTTAGTATGGAAACTTCAAAGAGTTAGTAATGTGAATGCTAGTGATGCAAATATTCATATAAGTGAATTTGAATTTAAATTAAAGGTTCTTATTAACTATTTATATGCATTATGATTTACATTAATTTACTTTTACCAATTGAAAATTATACATTTACTATATTAATAAGCTCTTTAAAGATAACGATAATGTTAGTATAGTGATGAGGGAAATAGGTGCCAAAAATGATTCAAATACTCATAAGGTAGCTTGTTAATTTGTTTCTTGAGTGATACTGAATTAACAGCTGGAAGTGATTATTCAGGTTTTCAGTGTGGCAAACCAATCGTATTTGTGATTCACTTATATAGTAATATAATTTTTCAAAGGTCGCCACAGTAAAAACCCAGATATTCACTTGGTTTTAATTTGGTAACACTTACTTTATAAATAAGCACTATGATCTATATTAACAAATAAATATTTGTAGTTGCTTTTTTTGCTGTCTTTTGACTTGCCGAACATGGTCCGAATTCTCTTATTCTTTATAAAATACTTCTTAAAAGTGCTATCACATTTTTTACGGGCCTTATTTAGAAAATTTTCCTATACTGGTATATCCAGTTAATTCAAATATATTCAATAAATAACGTCATACGACATCCTCTGATGATCCTGTTAGGAGGTTGTTTTTTTTTTTAAAAAAAAAAAAAGTATATTCAAAGCTAAAAAAAAATCACTACCGATTTTTTATATATAAACGTTTAACCATGACTAGATAGACTCATGTAAAGACTAGCTATTAATATAAATAAAGTTTATAACTTTTTGGTGCATTTATTTTGGGTACGAATGTAAATGCATGATGCTTAATTACGGGCGTTTGGATCTTAATTTCGGGGGTGCTTAATTTCGGGTGAATATAGAATGCGGGGGTGCTTAATTTCAGGGGTGCTTAATTTCGGAAGTATACGGTAATTTAAATTACTGTATTATAGAAGAGGAAAAGGAGA